CAGGTAGGCACCAGACATCAAAAGAAATTACAATATAGGTGTCCCCAAAAATTTATGCACAAACTTTAAATAATTATAAAGGCAGTATTTATTAAAATGCATTTCATTTTTAAAATGGAGCTATCAGCTGTTAAAGTATGTATACATTTTATGGAGATATCCTGTATATTAATAAAGAGAGAGAGAGAGAAACTTAAAAACATGGAGGAAGGTTATGACCTTTTCCTAAACCAATCTCATAAAGGTCAGTCAGTCATCATGCTATCTCAACAAATGGCCCCTTGTTACTGTTCTGAAACTGAGTTTCCTTCCAGTCAAAACTAGTGTTAGCCAATAAGGCATTTCTGATGCTTTTGTGTTCTTATGCAAGGGTGGACCTCTTCCAGCATTATAAATGACAGAGGGAAATACTCAGTAGGTCACATGAAGTCTTAAGGACCATCTTCAGAGTCTGACCTGGGATTGAATTCTGGCTTCACACATATGACTAGTTAGCTCTGTGCATTGGGTCAGTTTCTTGATCCCTCTAAGCCCCAGTTTTCTCACTGAGTTTTTGTGATGATGAAATGAGCAAATGTTTCTAATGATCCTGGCTTGTAGTCTCTGACTTGTAGTAAGTGGTATTGTTCCATTGTTGTTAATAATAACAACAATATATGGAGTAGTTGGTGGTTAATGACAGACTTAACTTTGGAGAAAATATAATAAAGAAAACAGCATCCTATATAATAAAAGGCTAATATGTAAATCGACCAAACTGCAGAATGACACGCACTGACCACCACGGGGCAGATGCTCAATGCAGGAGCTGCCCCCTGGTGGTCAGTGAGCTCTCACAGGGGGATTACATCTCAGCCATAAGCCAGGCTCACTGCTGGTGAGTTCAGACCATTGCAGCAGCCCTAAGGACCCCTCTTGGGATGTCCCACTGCCGGCTTAGGCCCAGGTCCCAGACTGCAAGAGGGCACAGGTCAGGCTGAAGGACACCCACATTTCTTAGTGCATGAGTGTTGTGCAATAGGACTCTAGTAAGTACAATATTTTTGCCATTGGCCTAATTTTGAGTGATTGACCACCTGTCATATTTCTCACTAAGTGACATGTATGAGAAATTCTGAAGTTGACTTAAATGGGTTAGAAATCCTCTGGAGTGGTTTCATTCTTAGGTATGTTTACTGTGTAGCATCATAGACTTTGCCAGGCAATTGCTGTTGGTATGTGCTTTCAGCCAGATGATTGTCCTGAATTACAGTGGACAGATCTATAACTTACACAGGTCTGCCTTCTGCTTTATGCATAATCAATGTCCCCGTTTGTATTATACTTAAATCCTTTGGGGTTTTTTTTCCTCCTATACCTTGCATTTCTAAAAACAAATGAACAGAAAATAAGAGAGGGAGGGAGGGAGGGAGGGAGGGAGCGAGCGAGAGCGAGAGCGAGAGCGAGAGCGAGAGCGAGAGAGAGAGAGAGAGAGAGAGAGGAGTTCCTATGACATCCGTTATTCCTAAAGGCCCTTAGGGATATTTCCAAGAAGACAAAGATGATCTCGACCACTTGCCAAACCCCTTCCTGCTTGCTATTGCAAAAGATGCACATGTCCTTCAATAAAACAAGCAAGCAGAGCCCTGCATTCTACTCAGAGATGTAGAGAACTAGAAAAAAGATTACCCCTAAACTTACAGTGAAATACATTCTGTCAAACGGCACATGCCAAGACCCTCCTGTGGAAACTGGAGGCACCTGCATTTTCCAAACGGTTCTCAGGCTGCCAGGGACTTTAACATGTATTTTCTGAATTTCTCTTAATATTTCCGTTTGTTGTTGTTCATAAATTGACAACTGTCTCACGTAGGGCACTGATTCTGAACAGGAACAGGGATTTTTCCAATCACTTGTGCTGGAGAGTCTGTGTGCCTCCTGGTGACACCATCTGCCATGGATCGCTAAGGTCCTTGATAGGCCTCCACGTCTGAGGGGTAAGGGGGCAGAAGAAAGGGAAGAAAGGTTATGAATCAGATCTGAGACTTTTCTTTTTGGTGTGTTTGTGTGTGTGTGTGTGTGTGTGTGTGTGTGTGTGTGTGTGTGTGTGTGTGTGTGTGTGTGGCTTTGGATGCCAATATTTTCTTTAAGTTACTAGGAGTAAAAAAGGGATGCACATTGGTCCTGGGCAATTTTTTTTTTCTGCATTAAAAACCAGCCCATCAAGGCCCCAAACAGGCTGAATGATTGTAAGAAGGGTAAAGTATTTAACTGCAGCAATGTTTGACTATATTCTGTGCAATGACAAACCCTGAAGTTGTTTTCAAGGGCCACCATTTCTTACTTCTTTTCAATTGGGTCAAGTTTCTGAGCTTTCTAAATCTCTGTTTTCTGGCTAATGAAGAAAAAAATATTCCACCGAGTCTCCTATCTACCTACTCCAGGACCAAATGAGATGAGGCATGGGCAAACCCTTCACAGACATTTGGTTAAAAGTGTAAAATGTTTCCACCTGGCTATAAAGCAAGTCATGTTCCAGGGCTAAAGGAACTGCAAGGAAACTAATCACTAGGGCAAGGATGCTGAGTGTTGCTACGTGATGTCATTACCTGGTACCCACAGCAGCCATTTCCAGGCAGGGCTGGGCTGTGGGCCATACTTTGTGCCATGGGGTCTTGGCAGCATTGGCTATGATCTGGTGAGGTGTCGCTCTGGGGTGGTGGCGGGGCCTGTGTCCCATTTGGGGGAAGCTGAGTGTTGCTTTGTAGGTACCAAGTCCGCAGTGCCGTTTATTGTTAAATGGCCTGTCACTAGGGAGAGGAAGCCAGGCGTTGCTACATGATGCCATTACCCAGTGCACCATGAGGTCTTGGCAGCATCAGCTGCGATTTGGTGAGCTAACACTCCAGGTTGGTGGTGAGGCCTGTGTCCCACTTGGGGGAAGCCAAGTGTTGCTTTATGGATGCCAGAGCCATGGTGCCATTTCTCTGTAAATAGCCAGTGCGGATCACAGCAGTTCCTGTGTTGAGCAGGACTTTCAGTGGCTCCCTCTCTCCCTGCGGTTGGAGGCAGTGCCAGCTCTCACGGATGGACACTTCCTCCCATCCCTTGCAATCCCCTCCCCGGGGGCTGGTTAGAGACAAGCTGGGAGAGGGTATGGGCTAGACCAGAGAGAGAGAGAGAGGAAGGACAGGCTCTCTGTGGTAGGTCAGTGCCTGTCACAGAGCCTCCGGGCCTCAGGTCTGTGGTGGCTGCAGGAGAGACCGGTCTAAGCTCTATGGCTGGTGACATTTCCGGCTGCCAGTGCCCAGCCAATCAGCGACAGGCCCAGCTAGTTAGAGCAATGACACATGAAATATGATCATTTTCTGCTAAGAGCCTGGAAGGCAGGGGAGGGGGTGGGAAGAGAAGGGAGATACTAGTAGTGTGTGTGTGTGTGTGTGTGTGTGCCTGGGAGGGGCCGGTGCAGGCAGCACCTGCAACAAGAGGGCTTGTGACAGTGCGCTGGGCTCTGAGGCTAGGGCCGGAGGGACTTGCCCTGGGGAGTGGCTGCAGGAACACCAGGGCTGCTTGTCAGGGAAGCTGCTGCTGCTGCTGAGTGGGAGCCAGAGAGGCTCAGGGCATCCGGGATGAAAAGAAACTGTAAAAGGCATTTTCATCCCTTCCCAATATAAGCGAGGTTAGGAGTTTCGGTTTCTTCTCACTGTTACCTCTTTAAAAGCCAAAACAAAACTGGAGTAAATATCATTTGGGTGGCTAAAATATTTAACAACAAAACAAAACAAAACAAAACAATAACACACCAAAAAACAAAACCCATTTCAGCTGGGTGTTATTTGTCCCCTACCCCACCCCCTTTTTTATTCTACCCTATGCTCAATCTAACTTTAACAAAATAAAGTAAAAAAACAACAACAAAAACTCAACACAACAAAACCATCTTGTTAACAAAATCGTAAAGAAGGGCCCAAGTCTGTATCTTAGGGACCCTAAAGGTTCAGGTGGTAGTTTGGATTCCGGATTCTGGTTTTTTAAAAAATGTGCCTGTGAACATGATCTGGTCCTAGACTGTATTGTAGTTTAGAAGAAGTTGCCACATGGATTCGTTGGTGAGAGGGCATGGCACCTGAGGCTTCTGGCAGGGCAGGGTGGGGAGTGCCCTGGCATTAACTCCGAGGTGGCAGAAACCCCACTTCCGCCAGCCCCTTTATCAGCAGTTAGGGGCTCTTGAGGGGTGACACTCGCCGCATTGCATGACTCCCCTGCATTGTCTGATCTCTCGAACATGTGTGTTCAGCAGTGAAGGATCATAGTGTTTACATAACATGCTGATTAGTCACTGAGGATCTCATCATGGCAATAAATGTGTCCAGTTTGATATCTTGCATTTGCATTCTCATTCTCTCTCCATCTATATATTCATATATATATATATATATATATATATATATATATATAATTTTTTTACAAAAGGCACTGAAAACTGAAATCATTATCACCGTGAGCACGCCTGCTCTGTGGCTTTAGACATGGGACTGACTTCCTGCGCTGGGACGGATAGCTATTCGGGAGTGATAATTGGTGTACTGTATCTTTAAAAGGTTAAAACCTCTTTCAAAAAAGGTCTGGACTTATAGTGGAAAAAGGCAAGCGAGGCATGGGTTGGCTCCGGATTCAGAAAATAGCTGCTGATTAGATTCTGTGTCTGGGGACTGAATTTATTCCGTGTTTTCCAGCAGCAGGAATTCGAGAGGGATGCTACTGTTTGGGTTTCCGATGGTGATTTATATTTATTCAGAGGAATAACAGAGGGTGGATCTGTTCCCGGCGCGAGCATGCTCACAACCAGTCGTCTCTCCCATTATCCAACTGCCTAGTTTGGTGCTTCAATGTACATGCACATGCCGTGTGCATATGTGTGTGTACAAACACGCACGCATGCCTGTGCGGACGGATGCGTGCACAGGCTCTGCTTTAAGGACAATCCTTTCAATGAGGTCTTTACCCCTTACTTGAAACAGGTGTTCATGAAAAAAATGCACACAATCCCGACTGACCGGAATAATTCATGAAGAAGGGCTGGCTGGCTCCGTGGGTCAGAGAACGCAGGACCAGTTTGCCACCATCCCAAGGCCCAAGGTAGGGGACTCTGGATTTTTATTCTGCGGATGGATTCCTTGTGCGTTGGGTTGTATTTGTTGTGCTTTTGCCCGCGGCCGCCCAGGGAGATGAAATAGCGAGTGGCGATTCCATTTTGTCATCGCATGTCTCGGGCACGGTGTGTCCCGCCGCTGAGGTTGCAGGGGCCGGCGTGGTGGGTGTCCGCGTGGTGGGTGTCCTCGGGCCGAGCCGGCTGCTCGGCCTGGAGCTGGGGGAGCGGGCGAGCCTCAAGTGACCCCGCGCGTCAATCAATCACCGCGCGGCTGGGCGGCGGAGGCTGCGGCAGCGGCAGCGGCGGCGGCTGTAACCCTGTGTGCGCCGCGCTCCTCGCTGGCTGGCAGCCGTTCTGGTCCGCGCGCTGGCGGCTGGGTCCATGAGCTCAGCACCTGCATCCTCCTCTGCTGCCGGGGCTGCTGCTCAGGGTTGCCCAGGCCCGCCGCGGTCTGTGGTGCGCTGGGTGGAGGAGGAGATTCTCAGTTTGCTGGGTGCTTAGGCAGAAGGATGAACTTTCCCTTCTCCCCTTAATCCTAGCACCCAAATGTCCCTAAAGCAAAATCACAACCTCGCTCCCCTCCAAACCAAACCAAAGCCGAACTCTTACTCTGGTGGGACCCTTGCCCCTTCTCCAAGTGGTGCCCCAGGTTTTACCACCTTTTAAAACTAGAACCACTGTTGGGGGATGGGTGGGAAGAGAATGAGGTGTGAGCTGAACCCATCCCTGCTGATGGCCCCTGCGGAGACTGTGGTGCCACCTGAGGACTCCTGGGCACGCGGACCGCCTGAGTGGGCAGAGGTGTGCAGAGGCACTGGGAGGCCAGGCGCTGCCTGCCTTCCTGGAACCGGCAGTTCTGGTTTACTGGCAGGTCGGTGCGCTTCTGTGGTCTGGCAGGCCCTGCCTGGAACTTTGCAGCCAGTGGCTGCAGGCGGAGGGTCTGCGAGGTCTGGTCGCCGGGTGAGAAGCACATTAGTCTTTCGGCGGCGGCGGCACACCTTCAGGTTCCTGGCAGCCCTGGCCATGGTCACGGCGGGCAGCAGCCAGGGGCCACCCAGCGGCATCATGTGCTTCGCTCGGGTTAAAATTGGCTTGCTTTTCTGGGTGTTGGGGGAGGGGTGGGAAGAGAAGGAGGTGTGAGCTGAACCCATCCCCGCGTTCTCCAGCCCTGGTTGGTGTGATTATGTAACCCGGAGTAACGATCAGACCGCGCGCCCTGGCAGCTTCCCCACCCTCCACTGCCGCCCTCCCTCGAATGAAGAAGTTGGGTCCCACGTTTAAGATGTTTAGGATGTCTTTATGTAACGATGTGTATGCTGAGGGCAGGGAGAGTGTGGAGAAGAGCGAGTCGTTTGAGCATCTTATGTGAAGCACAGAGGCTAAGATCACATGTCCGATGGAGACCGGGTGCAATTGGCTCTGGGTTGGTGTTGATCCGAAGACCCTCCCACATCCCTTTCACCCAGTCCTTGCTGGTCTGAACTTTCATGTGGTCATTTCACCCCTGCAGGAACCCGGGTTCCTAAGTAACAGAGAACTCCCCCAGGCTCACTTGTTTTGGGGTCCCAGCTGATCTCTATGCTGCCCACCGAGGAGAAGAGTTTCTGTCCTACTGGGATTTTAGTTTTGCCCTGAGGTGGGGGTACACTGTAGGCCAGACCTCAGATGCTGGCCAATATGCATGCATGACATAGGCTCTTTAAAGCTGTGGTGACTTGCAGGGGCTGGAGGCCCTGTACATTCTTGAATTAAAATTTTGTGGGATTTTTCCCCCCCCCAAGGTAGGAGAACAGCCGTGCCAATGAGATATCTGTAGGCAGAAGGGGAAGGTGTGTGCGACATTTAGCTCTCCCTCTTCTCTCCCCCTACTCTGCTTTGCTAATGTACTCACAGGGCACAGGACTATCACACGGGCCCCTTTGTCATGCCCCTTAGTGCCCAGGGCTGCTGGACAGATTTATTAGATGGTGGGAAGTCTATCCCCTTCAGGATAAGATTTTTTCTCTCTCTCAACCCGCCTGTGGTCCTCTTTAAGGGCCAGCGTCTAAGGTAGGGGTGTCGAACTCAATCAGAGAAGGGGCCAAAATCTAAAATCCAGCCTAAATCGCGGGCCGAATGGTTTACTGAACAGTCATAAACTGTCATTGTGATGGAAACGCAGTGGAGTGCAGATGACAGCGCGGTGCGGGCCACATTGCAAGGCCTGGCGGGACGGATTTGGCCCGCGGGCCTTGTGTTTGACACATGTGGTCTAAGGTGTGTGCCTGGGCAGTGGATTAAGATGTGCTTAACTGGCACCGTTGTTGAAACTGTCTTTGCCCATTGAGTTTCAGTTTCAGCGGAGAATTGTGTGCTGTCTTTGGGTTTTTGCCAAGTGAGCCATTGGGACAGTTAGTGTGTGAAAGTTACAGGTGAGAGGAAGATGCACTTCCTCTGAAATCTTGGCAGATCCCAGGCCCCGACTTGATGGAAGACAATGTTAAGAAAACGGTGTGACAACTGGATGGTTTTAAACTCGTGGCTCACTTCCCGGGCTGGGAGTCCCTTGGTATCTTTCAGCTTATTTTCTGCTCTCCGCGCTGCCCTTTAAGGAGGCCCTGATATGCTGTTCTTCTTTACATTTCCGGTGGAATCGAAGCATATTTACAGTTCTACAGACACAGCGGGCAGGCAGGGCAGGAAACACGAGCTATAGGAACAGGTAGCACTGGTGTTTCCAGCTAGACTTAGCCAAAGCCCTTGACCAGTGTTGTGTTTTATTTGTGAAGTGGGTGTAATCATTATAGCCTTTCCAAACCCACTGAAATACGGAAAAGAAAATGGGATGAGTTGAAAAGTAACATGTGCTTTGCAGCTGAAGGGTATTAGGCTAATACTACAACAGTGTGGACCTCACATTTACATAATTTCACTAACCTAAAGGAGACCTCAGTTGTAAACCAGGACAGATGCTGTAAGTTCATGAGCTCCAGCTCTTGCAATTTGATCATTGCAGAAAATTTCATACCCTCTCTCAGACTCTTTATTAGTGGAAAGTCCTAAGAGGCTTGGTTATTTGTTTGTCACATACCTAGCATGTTGAAAAAGATTGATAACATACTATACAAGGGTTATTAAAAAAATTTTTTTTTGTCATGTGTCAGTAGGAAGTACTAGTAATGCCGAAACCAGAAGCCAGTTTGGCTCAGTGGATGGAGCGTCAGCCTGCGGACTGAAAGGTCCCAGGTTCTATTCCCGTCAAGACCATGTACCTGGGTTGGGGGCACATCCCCAGTAGGAGGTGTGCAAGAGGCAGCTGATCGATGATTCTCTCTCATCGATGTTTCTAACTCTCTATCCTTCTCCTTTCCTCTCGGTAAAAAAATCAATAAAATATATTTTTGAAAAAAGAAGTACTAGTAACATAAGAAACACACAAGCTAAAAAACACTTTACATAAATTTAAAAGGCACATGACTTCAAAGCATAGAATTTTAAGACTATTCAATGTACAATAAATACTTACTGCAAACAAATCATTAAAATTTTATATATTTTGATGGGTCTTCAGGGCCCATAATTACCAATATGCTCCCAATGACCCATATGTATAAAGAGAAGTTTCAATGACATTTTGTGTGTCCAATTTAAAAGGCAAGAGAATTTGAAATATACCCAAAATGATTTTCCCCCCCACATGATGCTTAAAGGAAAAACTGCATTTATGCAAGATAACAGAAACCCTGAGGTTTCTGGACAGCCAGGGGCTTACTGATCCAAATTACATTGTAACTATAATTCTCTCATGTTGAATTTCATTGAGAAGTTTATAGTTTATGATCTCTTGCTGAATTTTAGCAGGGAACTCTTACACTGGTATTAGTAGTGCTTATGTATGCTCTAACATGTGATGCTGCAGAAAATATTAAGAAGGAAACAGGCAAACTTGTATTGTGACCGGTGACACACTTAGAGCTTTCCAACCTGGTGGCTCTAACGCCGCAGTTGGAAGTGACACAGTGACGAAAAGATGAGAGGTCAACCCTGGAGGCGTGCATTTCTTGCGTCAGTGCAGGGAATGCGGACGTCTCACTGGCAGTGTGCTGTTAGACAGTTCATCAGAAACGCAAGGTCAAGGTGTCACGGCAACACCCTCATGCTAAGCTGTGATGTTTATTCAGTTCAGACATTGTGCTCAAAACTGGGAGGGTGTCTGAGATACAGGAGCAGTGCTTAGATTTGCCTGACTCGCTCCCAGTTTGCTTAGTTCCAGTTTACTCCAAAACAAAGGCACCAGGGAAGATAAAAGGAGAAGAAAGTGATTACAGACACTTTTAAAACATAATACATATGTAAAAAATGTGAAGACCATACTTGAAAGTGGCTGAATAATATTGCTCAGTATCTAGCTGCAAAGAAACTCATTTTTTGGGTACATTTCTTGAATACATTTTTTGAAATTGCTAGGAAGAAACTGTCAACATCAGGTCATTGAATATGGTTAGAAATGCTCAGAACTGTCCCAAGTTTGCATAAGCAAAGGGACACTGGTGTAATAAGGTGGAGAAAGGGTATTCTCTGAAGTCCCAGGGGGCTTGAAAGGCAGAGGTTGGTGGTGAGAGGGTAAAGTTTGGGAACAAGTGCTTGGACCATACATCCGGCCTGTTGGTGATGCCATGTGTGAGAGATGTGATTCCTTGCCGCCTTACCAAGTGTTACAGAATGTCAGGTGTAGCTGGCATCCTTGTGAAAAAAGGAGAAGGGCTGAGCTTTCCATCCAGAAGTGCAGTAGAGGTGAACTGAGGATACCTCTCAGATTGGGGGAACACAACCAGGGATCTTGGGAACTCTCTGAATGTCCATGGGTCCTTGAATTGGGGTTCATGGATAACTTAAAAAAAAACGAGTCATGTATGCAAAGAAGAACTGATAAATAATAGAAAGAGATAGAAAAAAACAAAAGCAGCATTATACATCCATGACATGCACTGCTGAGCCTCTGTCACCA